TTTGTAACAATTTGATTCGGCATATAATGTAAGATATAAAAGATGACATTTTATTCGTGCAAAAAATAAGTTAAACGTGATGAAAGTAATTATTTGTTACAATCTCTTATATTTATTTGAAGATTTTAAAAGACATCATAAGAGTGGTCTCTTAATGTTTGGTAGTAAGAATAAACATTTTGAGAAAAACTTTTAATGATATCTTAGATACGCCACTAATTCAAAATCTTATTAGTGATAAATTTTTAAATTTTTAAAACTTATATCTTTTATATATATATTGAAGACCTTTTTTGTTTAATACAAATAAGATACTCATATAAGTTGACCCCAAAATCAAGATTAAAAGTTATTTTTGGGTTTAAATTTAATGTTTAGTATATTAATTATGAAATTCTGATTTAATTATAAAATATATAAAGTTTCATTGTTAAAAAAAATTAATGATAATGATAATATATCACAACAAGATAATGTAATGTCATCATGAAAAAATTAAAAAATATATCACATCAATAATTTTATTGATTTTAAATGATAAATGATCAAAATAAAATTAAAATATAATGTTATATGTAATTTAAAAAAATAATTAAGATATTAAATACTTAATTTACCCCACATTTGTCGCTTTACACCCCGGAAGGTCGAGAACGTTTGATTTCAACATGAAAATAACCCCCGACGACGTCGTTGCATACGTCAGCATGAAATGTTCTGACGACTGTTGATCCAACGGTTGATAGGGTGCCACGTTTAATTTCCTAAACGATAAAAGCAATAACGTACTTGTTGACTTTGGAAGATTGTAAAGACTTTCTTTTTTGAGTACGTTTCTTTGCTTTGTATTTAGTCAAATTGAAAATAACTGGAAATTTTTTACCACCAAGAATAATCATAAAATTAAATAAATAATCAATTCAATTAAATTAATCGAGTTATCATTCAATTTTTAGTTGATATTAGTTTTCAGTTTTATTATTAAATGATTTTTAAATAAAGTTTATTTAAATAAAATAAAAAATATCTATACCGTTCTATTTCATAATCATTTTGATTTTTTCGAAGCAGTTTGGCAGTCGACATTTTATTTTGAAGTAAAATGTATATTTTGAAGTGATAATTGTTAGTCTACAAATTGTTAATGTTTAAAATCTAAGATTTTTTTACTCTAAAATAAAACGTATGGATGCCAAAATGATTTAAAAATAAAATAAAAATAAAAATGACTATTTAATTAAACGTTAAGAGATTATTATCCTAAAATAAAACGTTAGGACTAAAATATTAAAAAATATGTGCTAAAAAGACTATTTGGTCAAAAGCATGAATTTTTATTTTATACTTTCAATTTAATAGAGGAATAGATTGAGAGGGTATTGAGAGAAGATCACACCTAGGAATTTCAAATTTTTTGAATAGTTTAAAATTTTTATTTATTTTTCTATTATGGTTTAATACGTATAATTAAATTTCTATAAATGTACCTCTTAAATTTCTGATATAAAATTTACACATCTGACATAAAATTATACATCTATTTATAATTTAACATATTCAACTTATTTAAAAATTGAATCATCCTTAAAATTCTTAAATTTATGTTACTATTATATAAAAAAACTATAATCATTATTTTCAATCCATAAAATTTTTTAAAGATAAATTTCTAGAAATTAAGTGATAGGGGTGTTTATTGTTCGGTTAAAATTGAATTAACCAATTGAACTAAAATTTCGGTCTGTTAATCGGTCGATTAATTTTGGGTTCGGCCGGTTAACGGTTAATGTTTTTTTTTTAAATTTTGGTTTTGATTAATTCGGTTCGAAATTGATTAATTCGATTCTAAATTGGTTAATTAACTGAATTAATCAAAATTATTAAAATTTAATTTATTATATATATATTTAGCTTTAGGGATGTTGAACTCTATTTTTACCGAATTAATCAATCAAATTAACCGAATAAATAAAAAATATTAACTATTTAATATATATATATATTTATATATTTTGGTTAACTAATCAATTAATCGAACTTAGTTCAGTCTCGGTTAAATATTTTTAGAAAAAATTTGGTTTCGGTTAACAGTTAATGGAGAAAAATTCAATTAATGAAAATTGAGTAATTCGGTTCAATCGGTTAACCGAATTACCTGTTTAAACACCTCTATTAAGTGAAACTCGAAATGAATAATATATGTCAAAGAAGACCACATAATTAGGCATGTGTTTGATTGACTTTGAGTCACGAGTCAAATTAATTATTTCATAAAATAAAAAAAACACCCAAAAATAATTAAATATTTGAATCTGAAGATATTCACGGGGAGATAACCTAATCTTTTATTTATTTTTCACCCAAACTCAATAATTTATATCATAGATTAAATGAAATAAAATTATTCAATATACAAACTATGTCAATTATTTCATTTAAGTAATCATTTCACCACTAACAATCAGTTAGTCTAGTGGGATGAGACATTAGATCCTTAAGTAAGGTCATAAGTTTGAATCTTGATGTTTACGAGTGGAGCAAATTGAGTTGGATGGATCGTCATAGTCTCTGTAATATAAATCTGAATTAGCCGATTAATAAATTAGATAAAGTGATTATACAATAAATAATCTTTACACCAACTATTGTAGGACAAAAACAACACTAACAATATTTATTAGATTATGTGACACCAACATTATTCATAAATTTCAAAATTCTTATTTAACTTTAATTAATATAAGTTCATATCAAAAAATTTATTCGATCTATAAACAAGTTTATAATCGTATTTAAAATATAAAATATTAAAAAATCATTAAAACGATAAAGTATACAAATGATCTTCCTATCATATGACAATGCTTTGTTAAATATCTGAATATTAAGTTATAAAATGATCCCTAATTAACGAGTGTTGTTTTGTAGAGTCTCTCAACTTTTAAAAGTTATAAAATGGTCATTTGACTATTTATATGTTCTAAACTCGTCATTTTTTATTAAAAATTAGCGATCGTCTGAGCTCAAAGTTAACTTGTAGACTGTATATGATAAAATCATATTTTAATGATGTTTACTGACATTGTCGTTGATTTCAAGCATTGACTCGATGACATAATGTTTCAAGTACTAGCTCGACGACATGATGTAAACATTTATGGGATTAGATTTTATCATATCCCAGTTAACGACAAGTTTAGACATCCGTCAATTTTTTAACATAAAAAGATGAGTTTAGAACATATGAATTGTCAATTTGTAACTTATAAAAGTTAAGAGACTTATAAAAGTTAAGAGACTCGACAAAATAACATCCTTTAATTAGATATCATTTTATAATTTTTAATAATTAAATGATCTAATAAAAAAACATCTTACAATTAGTGATGATTTGTGTACTTTTATCTTTGAAAAAAAAGGAGACAATAAGAAAGTACATAAAATGTGAAAGGCAGGTTTCGTCGACCAATGAATATTACTATATTAGCCACCAAAAAGATAGTAATTTTTTTCCAAGGCAAAACAGCGAAAGTCCAAGTTTTCCTAGTCACAAGAGTCTGCGCACGTGCTTTTATTTAGTTAGTTACAATGTACCAATATACGTCCCTTTCTGTCCTTAATTCTTTACTCTAATTATTTTCATGTGATTGATATTCTTATTTAATAATAGGATTATAATACAAACCAAACTACCTAAATAGTTAAAGGTGCGTTTGGTTCACGGAATGTAAGATTATCAGTGGAAATGTAAGATTACTAGGGAATATAATTACTGAGAATGTTGTATTTTGTGTTTGGTTGGCTTAGCAGGAATGTAAGATTACCGTGTTTGGTTAAAGGAATAAAAGATTATTAGAATGTATATTTGACCAAATTGTCCTTATTATATATTTGTTTTTTAACAAGTTGAAAAATATTTATATATTTTCTTTAAAAAAATTAAATTCATAAAATTTATATAAATTTTTTATAAAATTGAAAATATAAAAATATTTAATGAAAGGGTAAAATTTTATTTTAACCCCTGAACTTCATATAAAATTTTAATTATAGATTTTTTTTTTGTAAATCTAAAATAGTTTAAGGATAAATTTGTAATTTAACCTTCGGAGAATTTTTATTAATCAATGACATAAAAAATGATATTTTAAAAAAATTTAAGGGCATTTTAGTCCAAAACGCCGGGAATCCAACAATACCTAAGAAAATAGAGGTAATGACATTCCCGGTAATATACCCCAAAAAATCCACTATTGGTAATCTTACATTACCGGGAACGAGATTCCCGGGCTAACCAAACGGGGGAATGTGGATTCCATTCCCATGAGAATCCCACATTCCCCCATCCAAACACCCCCTAAGGGATTTGTTTATATTTCTTGAAGTCTCAGATTCGAGCATTGCATGTGCAAGAATATTATCGTTCATTATCAAATAATTGAGAATTTTTAAACAAATACTCCCTTTTATTCACCTCAAATTCATATAAAAAATAATCTGATTGCATGTCAAAATAATAATTTAATAACTAAACTATTTTTATTTAAATATAATAATAATATTTAACTGTAATTTTATTAATAATTTAGGATTAAAATATAAGATTTGTTTTAAAAATTTAGAGTTTGGAATTTAAAGTTTACGATTTTAAGAAAAAAGAAAAAAATAAATTTTAAAAGATGGATTTATCAGATATTTTTTTTAATGTTTATAATATACAATGACTCGATGATATTCTTTTAATAATGATAGTATATATAAAAAAATCGAGTCAAAGACATATGTAGACTAGAGATAAATTTGGTATGTAAATAATCTTCTATTTGTTTTAAAATATTTTCCATTCCTTTGTTTCTTGTAACCTTCCTCTTCCCTTATCAAATAATATATATTTTTCCATATCTTATCTCTTTCCACGAAACCGCCATTGATTACTTGAAAAAGAATCCAAATCCCATGCCCCCTATATAAACCCAAAAACCCTAATTGAAGTTATTTCACGTCTCTTCTCTTCTAACTCCTTTCCCAAAAGGGTACTCAAATCTCTTTTCTTTTTAATTTCATCCATGGATGCACTTCGTCAAGTGAAGAGAACCAAGAAGAACTCCAAGAGGAGCAATTCCAAGAAAGATTTGAAAGTCGTTTATATCTCGAGTCCCATGAAGGTCAAGACGTGTGCCTCGCAATTCCGAGCTTTGGTCCAAGAACTCACCGGTAAAGACTCCGACATCGCCGACCGGTTCATGGACAACTCTAACTACATTGACACCACACCAGAGGATTCTTCCGACACGACGAGGATTACTGCCGAGGGTGATGGTGTTATTGGTCAGCTGCCCTTGCTTGATTCCAACAATGATCAATCAGTGTTTGGTCCATTTGATGATGGAATTATGTCGGAAGGGAGTTTCTTGGGGATGTTTACATCAAATTTGTTTCATGACCAATCGCAGTTTGCTGCTATCAGAAGCTTTGGCTCGGTTTGATTAATTTCAAGCATTTAGTTATATAATTACATGTAATTATTATATAGGCTATGGCCTTTAATTTATATAAATAATAGAGTATTTTTTAAGAAAAGAATTTGCATGAGTGATTATTAAGATTTAGTTCAATTAGTATTGCGAGAATTTTGCATAAATTTTGATCTCTACTCAATAACTCATTTAGTTCTCATAATATGCGTAAGCATAGATTTAGTTACACATATTTGAACCCAAAACTCAACTTTAAGTCTAAATCCAAACCCGAAACTCAACTTTAAATCTGAATCCGAACCCGACACTCAACTTTAAGTCTGAACCCGAAGCTCAACTTCAAATCTGAATCTGAAACCGACACTCAGAACTTTAAATCCGAATCCAAACCCGACACTCAGTCTAAATCCAAATCCAAGTGACAAAGATCAAAAGCATTAAAAATGTAAACACCAATACCAATGTCTTCTAATTTAGAAAAGAGAGAAAACACAAAGCAAGCACGAGTGAGTGTACATCTCTATATTTTTTTTTGATTCATGCAAATGCTTCATTTAAGTTAAAATGCTGATTGAAACTTTGAGGACTTTTCACTTGTTTTGTGCAAGCCACTTACAAAAGCCATTCTCTAAAGCATCTTTCATCCATTCATGCCTGCAACTTTGCAGTGCTTTTGGAATCGTAAGCCAGTTTCTCATCCGAGTGCTCTGCTCCGGCCACGAACTTAGTTCCTCCTTCACTAACAAGGCAAACATCGCAGCTTTACATAACCCTTCTGGACTGAATTCATCTTGATGAGTTTTGCTCTTGAAATGATAAAATCCTATGAATCCTAAATTCCATGAGAAAAGTTAGATCACTTTCAACCTAGAGTAAAGAGGTGAATGCAACAATCTTACACACGATGAAATAATTTGAGCAAATCTCATGGTGTAAAGGCAACCCGAGGCATAATCGAAATCTTATGATGACCGTGTTAAGAAAATTTGAAATTAATGGAAATAGTAGGGATAAAGCAACTAACTTCTTGTACAAATAGATAAGAGTGCCCAAAACTATAACCTATTAGATATTAGTATATCATAGAAATGAATCTGTTCAACTTTTTCACATTTAGAGGATCATATCCAGCACCATGCCTAGATATATATCGAACACGAGTATTGGAAGGAACATAAATGGTGAGAGAAACATCTGTGAGATGCGTTCAAGAGGATAAAGTAATGGCATGTAGAAAATATACCAGATCTGTGGCACTATAAAACATTCCACTTGAACTCGGGTGTATCAGATACGTGTATATGTATGACAAAGGTATACTTGACTATTTTCTTAGTGTTTTCATAATCTTACTCAAAAGTTGATGACAATCTCGACCTATGTTACATTGTTACTTGAACAAGGGTGTGATCATCAGATACGTGTATATGTACGACATCGGTATACTTAACTATGTTCTCTTAGATCTTAGTGTTTGTGTGTGTTAAATTGGGATATTTCAAGAAAAATGAAAGCAACATGTGTTGACAAAATAACGAATAATATTTAGAGATCTATCCTGAAAACATCAAATACATCAAGGGATGAACTAATGTCAGAAAATATGTTATAGCATTTCATAAACTCGAAAGATAACAATATAAAACGCATAAATATAAGTGAGGGAGAAAATTCACCAATAAATCCCCTCGGACCCCAGCTTCTTCAATAGCTTCCCTCACTGCAGCCTCCTCGACTGTTTCATCATTCTCCCAACCTCCCTAGAATCAGAGAGAAAGATATCCATAACAAAATGTTACCCTAAAAGTACTCTCTTCTTCAAAATATAGATAATAAGAAAACATGGTAGCCAAACAGCTATTTTTGACTCCATTTAGGTCAACTATATTTTATATGCAGTTATATTCTTTAATGACAAGAATAATATAATACTATGTTACTGACACTAGCATTATTAATTTTTCTTAGTCTTTCTATGTGTTCTTTAAAAATTCATATCCATACACCCATATCATAATGTATATCGAAGTGAATGTCCAATACAGGTAATTCAAGAAAAAATATTGGCAATGAATCTTAAAATTTTGCTAGAACTAATTTTTTTATTACTCCTAGCTCTAGTTTAATCTCAACGGTCTGAAAAAAAAACATATTAATAGGAAGGTCTTTGTATTGAGTTCCAAAGAAAAAAATAAAAAAGGAAGCTTGTGCAAAAATTCAATGGTGTTCAAGTAAAGAAAAAGAGTTTGCAAGAGAAACCACCCAGTATGTAGACAAGAACACAAAGTAATAAAAAGATATCGTGGGACTTGCATTTCAGACTCTACCATCAAATGAACCTTCAGATTTAAATATATGAATCACAATTGATTATTTAAAGAAATTTCATAGCAAACGTTAGTTATGTTTCTCAAGTGTTGAGTTTCTAATAAAAAATTCAGCCAAGAATAATCACTTAAACTCCCGTCCACGATAATAAGTAATAACAAAATTGTCAAAGACCGGTTAAATCATTCAAACCTTAACTATCCTAAAGGGAACTCTTGCCCGTAGATGGGTCATACTTTTTCATGAGATTGCATGATCTATATCAATAAATTCAAATCAGAATCCTCAGCAATTTCCATGAAACATTTACCTCCTACGTAACTCCAAGATCTTCATTTTCTCTGAAGTACCCATGTTTGACAACTGTTTCAACTTTCAACCACACACTTGGACATGGATATGGGGGTATGATCCTCTAAGAACCCTCCAAATACATGAAAATCTTAGAATAAGATTTGATCATACCCATGTCTGATACATCCGAGGCCGAGTAACATAGTTACCTCAGCAAAATTTTATTCTAAACTTAAAACAACATTTCAATCTAATATAATAGGGAAATGTCATAACTACTTACAACCCAATTAATAGATTACCAAAGTACCTCCTGTTATCCAAGAGACAAGTGCAAAGCGTACTTATTCTAATTTGTTGTATATTGTATGTTACTCCAAACATTTCATTTTTCTTTTCTTTACGTACCAGTGTCCAATGGCTATACAGACATGGACATAAGGATACAAGCCTCAAAAGAACCTCCAAAAACGTTAAAATCCTTAGGAAAATTGAACATATCCATGCTGGACACATTTAGTCCCGTCACTTGCACTGGAGTGAGAGTAACATAGGTATTATCAAATACTACTAAGTAAACATACTATTTTGTTGTAAATGTTAATAAGAAATTTGAATGGTGTACACTAGATTGGTTAGATAAAAAAACTGCAAGAAAAAGAAAAGGAGCTAAAAGTAAAGGCTAATAATGGGTAATACCAAATGCAATCCAATATTAACAGATACTCTGCGACAAACTACAACTGGATGCATGTGTTTTTCGGAAAAAAATGTTTATTTCTATCAACAGTAGTGTATATATGAGCAAAAATAAATGCAACAATTTTCTACCGCAGAATGGAGTTAAGCAGGTCCAGAATGGTAGGAAGCATGGAAAAGAAAGTAAGTGTTACAGTGCATGCCTGAACAAACATGAGTTTGTACCTTTGGAAACAAGAGACCTGGTCCGCTAGTTGAGGTAATCATCAGTACCTCAACCACCTTTCCAAATTTTACATCATCTGTCTCGTTTGAATTTCCATACCTAAATGGAATACATCTGTCAAAAGAGAAGAGCAAATTTAGCACATGAAGCTCAATGGTGAATAGAATTTTCATTAAACTTCAAAATTGAAGTGTTCCCACAAGTTGATGCCGATCTCATTACATTCAGAATGGAACAATTCAATCTCAATCCAAAATAGCAAGCAAAGAGGGAAAAGAAAAAGAAAGATTGAAGACCAAACATTCTTCCAAAAAGGTATGTATAAAAATCCGGTCACATTACCACCAAAGCGGAGAAAAACAAACCGTAAACAGAAAGGGGCTCAATTCAATGACATCTTGAATAGCACATCTCATTAATATTGAAGGATGCCCTGCCTCCACGGTAAATTCTTTTGATTTAGTTCCAACGTTAAAGTCAGCATAACTTCAACTGTCAATCCTAGTTATATAGTTAAGCAACTTGATCTACCGCAAAAAAAGGAATATGTTGGGAAATTTTCTCTTTAAGATCGTTCTTTATTTTCCCTGGTTTTTCTTTCTTTATTTTTTTCCCTTTCCTTTTCTTCTTTCAGAAACCAAAAAGACAATTTAAAGGATAGTATAACTGCTTGACTACTGAGAAACATAGCCATCAACATCAATACCAAAATATCAAACCAATAGCCAATATGCAACACACGAAATTTCCTAGAAGGTCTCACTATCTCTTTTTGTTATATGTCATATCTGCCCAAAGTCACACCCAAGGTCAGGTTGATATGCTAACCGTTCCACCTCATGAATAATTCATGAAATTTCGATATTCCTAAATTAGCTCCAAGAGAAAATATCAGTTCTCAAAAACAACACTTCAACTACCAATTATATTGAAATTCATGAAGATTATCCTAGACCTTTTATTCTGAAAGCTCATATGGCAACATAAGGAAGAAAATTCTACGAATATTTTTCACATCGTAATTAACATGTACCCTTTTATTCTGAAAGCATGTTCTTAATAAGCATCATTCCAACCTTCAAATGCCCCCATACATGATTTAACATGGCAATGCAACCAATACATAGGCAACGATATATATAACAAAAACAAAAGCATACCCATTTGCCAATATCACAGAGATGATTTAAATCATTCAAAGCTTAAAATGCAGCGTTGGCACTCATAAACACAAAAAATAAAACAAACCCACTTTCTAATTGATCAATCAAGATAGATCAATAAATATCTCAAACCCAGTGATTTAATAAAACATTCCAATCACAGAGAATACATCAACATTCAAGAAGATAAAAAATACAAAAAAATAGATTAATCAAAACATATTTTCCACATCTACATTACACATATTAAGCAAAAAAACAACCATAAAAAAACATACCCAGCGACAAGGCGAAACCCAGCCTCGTACCTTTGCTGAAGCCGACCTGTACGGGCCACCAAATCCGACATGATAATTTGAAGAAAAAGGAAAACCCAGTTTCTTTATTTCTTTTAAAATCTCAAATTCTCTTGATTTCAACAAAGGCGATCATGGTTGTTGTGTTTTTTTCCCATTTCTTTGGGAGGGGGTTTCAGGCTTGTACAGGATTACGGTTCATCCATTGCTGCTGGCATTGGATTTGACGGTGATGATGAATGCTACAAAGCATCTTTCAATGGTTGGGATCTTCTTGCCTCTTTTATGTTAAATTTTTGGGGGTTTTTTTGAAATTATAAATCGTAATGAATGCCAAAAGATTTTCATTTTTGGGGAAGAAAAGAAGAAACAGAGGGGAAGCGGTATGAACGGATCGAGCGGTGGAGTGGTCAAAATAAGCATGTGAGCTGAGCTGGTTCATACGTGGCTGCATAGTTACAAATCCACCAACGAATTACTCCTATTTAACCTGGATTTTATAGAGTTTGAATCAATTCAATTAGGATAAACTACACAAATGTTCCCTCAAGTATAAGGCACTATTTTATTAAATCATTTGACTATTAAAAGTTATAAAATGATCCTTAGACTATATAATGTTGCTCTATTAAGTTCTTCTACTATTAAAAAGTTACAAAATGGTCATTAAACTATTCATTATGTTCCAAACTCATCCTTTTATGTTAAATATTAGCAGTTATTTAAGTTGAACGTTAACATGATGACTAAGATATGATGGTTGTTTGAGATTCCGGGTTCAAATTTTATCATATCACATTCAACAAGTTAACGTTCATATTAGAATATCGTCTATTCTGAATGAAAAAATATGATTTTTTTTATCATAATAAATAGTCGAGTGACCATTGTATAACTTTTAATAGTTGAAGGACTCAACAAAGTAACACTCCATAATCGAAGGATATTTTATAGCTTTTAATAGTCAATGGACTTAATAAATCAGTATCATATAGTCGAGAATCATTTGTGTACTTTACCCTTCAATTTAATAGGGCTAAATTTCTTTTAAAAAATCAGAATTAAATGGGATCAATTTTTTAAAGAATAAAATCGAATTATATCAAATTTTAAATTTAAGATAAAAAGTCTGACCCCACCCAGAAAATCACCACTAACTCAATCCAACAAATAATGATAGTAGGCATCTAATTTTAAACTACTTGTTAAAATTGATTATTTGCATGTTGAGTTCTTAGTACAAATTTTTATATTTGTGGTGTTAGATGATATTTTACAGTATGATAGTTTAATTTTTAGATGATATTTTTTTTATAAGTGATGGACTTATAAGACTTAAATTGAGGTGTTGAACTTACAAGGATGGAGCCTAAAAGGTTAGTATAATGTAACTTGTAGATTTTCTGAGAGTAAATTCCTTTTAAGTCCTTGAAATTTAAATACCTTATACAATAATTTTTGTATAATTGCTAAACATTCATTATCCAAAAGAAGCAAAGTCTGCTACATCAAAACACAGCCACCATAGGGCCAAAACAATAGTAAAACCCAACACCTATGCAAAGAAAATGGGGAGATATGAAAAATAAATAATTACCCATCAATCCCCCAATTCCTATAAAATCTATCATTTAACCCTCCCTATTTTATATGAGTGTCAATCAACTTCATCTTAACTTCCTCCTCAATCGCTTTTAACTAAAGCATCAGTCTTGCCAGTCCTCCCAAAGACTCTTAATTCCTCTCCTTCCAAACATGATAAATATATGTACTCCAAGTTAGCTTCAGCAAACCAGAGATGGAACCCTTACCTTCTAGCTTCTCGACCGTCCAAGAGACCTCCTGCCTCGATAACTGGCATAAGGCAAGGATACCACCCCATGCCATCTTCGAGTAACCACACTAAAAAAATAGGTGATATCTCGATTTCAACCCATCCGAGTAGAAACAACAACTTCCATTCACCTCTATTCCCCATCCCAACAATCTGTCCTTTGTCGGCAACCTGTCCAGCAACACAAACCACACAATGATAGTATTCCGAGGAATTTGAGAAGGAAACCATAATCTCATTAAGAAAATAAAATATTTTGTTGGCATTAGATTTCATAACTTAAATGTTAAAATGAAAAACAAATATTATATAAACACTCCTCACTAAGGCATTCATGACCCTATCACTAAAAATTATTTATTTCAAATTTTCTTTCTTTGTCATTCTTTAAGGATAAATCTTCATTTTTTCCCATGAATATAAGGGAGTAATAATAGTTATTTAAAAAGTTAATTATGAGTGGATTAATGACATAAAAAGGATAAACTACATAAATGGTCTCTTGACTATAAGACGTTGTTTTGTTGAGTTTTATGACTATTAAAAGTTACAAAATTGTCCCTATACTATAAGACGTTTCATTGAGTCCCCTGACTATAAAAAATTACAAAATCTGGTTATCCGACTATTCATATGTTCCAAACTTGTCATTTTTCATTAAAAATCGACGTTCATCAGAGCTGAACGTTAAACTATTGATTGAGATATGATAAAATCATATCTTAATAATGTCTATTGATACCATCATTGCTTTCAAAAACTGTTTCAACAGCATAATGTTTCAAGCACTGGTTCGACTACATAATGTAAACGAAGATTCAATCCACAAAATATAACTAAAATGTTTCCAGGATCATATTTTATCAAAGCTTAGTCAACAGGTTAATGTTCATCTTAGATAACCATTAATTTTTTAAATGGAAAATGACAAGTTTAGAATATATATATAGTCAGTTGAATATTTTGTAACTTTTAATAGTCGAATAATACAACAAAGAAGAGCTTATAGTTAAGAGACTTTTTTTATAACTTTTAATGGTAAAGTGACTTAATAAAATAATATCGTATTATTGGTGGACCATTTATATACTTTATAAAAAAACAATGAGATAATAATTTTTATTGGTTAGAATAGTATAACGTTATAGAAAACGTTGATAAAATAATATTCCATTAAAAAGATATTAATGAAAAACACAATAGGACATTTATTTTGTTTTTCTTCTAAAAGAAAAGATGAATTATGTGGAAAGTTCTATAGGAGGCCTTAATATACGGTTAAGAAAAGACACTATTGGTTTTGTTATTTTTTTAATAAAATCGATAAAAAATTACTGCAAACATTATTATTTCTACCAAAAATATTCTTGAGCGATTTACCAAGCTTGATAATATATCCGGTAAAGAACTACTTAATACATTATTTTTTCTACCAGATATATTATCAAACCCGATAAAACACACAATAATAACAAAACCAGTAGAAATAATAAAATTTCAAATAATTTTTTACATGTTTTATTAAAAATAATAATAAAACTAATAACGTCTTTCTTAATCGTATATTAGACTGTCGCACGTGAAACTTCCTTATTTAATTGTAGAAGGGTTGGGAAAGGGAGGTGGGATGATCGATTAGGTGCATCTTACAAAGTACGGTAACGTAGTGAGTGGACCAATCAACGTGAACGAGTCTGTCACCCCATCCTTATCACCGTGCACGAAAGCCTCGCCCCTGATCAGTCTTCATCGCCGACTCTATTCTTTGAACTCGGACGCTTCTTTTACTCACCACTCAGCTGTCGTCCCAACTCAGTCAAACCAACCCTTTTCTTTCCAATTTCCAACCCAATATTCTTCCCTTTTCGAGCATTCGTTACAATTGGATTATTTTACCCAACCTTGTATTAATTCAATCGATTAGATTATTTATTCTCAATTTAATATATTAGTTTATTATTTTAATAATAGTTTCTTCTCTTGTAAATTTGGATGAATATAAGATAATATTTGTTTAAAGATTTTTAATCTTTTGACTTTGAATATTCATAACCCCTCTATACACGATGTTCGAACCTGAAATATCAAAAATTAACAACAAATGTTTTAACCATCGAAATTGTTTAATTCGTGCCGTTTAATAATAATTGCATTAAAAATTAATGATAAATTTGGACAAACATATAATGAATTCATAGTTTGGGGATGCATTTTGACCATTCAAATGTTCCATACTTTTGAACAAATATTCCAAATTCATCCATAAACTACAACTCATCTTATATCGATCTAAATTTTTGGACATTTTAATAGCACCCCTTCAAATCATTCAAAAGATTAAAAATAAAACTAAAACATACAAAAGTTTAGAGATTAATTTAGAATTAAAATTATAATTTATTGATGAAACTAAAATATTTAAAATTTTGGCATTAATTTAGCGAGGATCGTAGTTTAAAGATATATAGTATTAACTCTTTTATTTTTTTGTAATACTTTACATTGCAATCGAAAATACTATAAAAGATGTAATGTTTTAGGATGCGTTCAATTTAATATATATTTTTTATCATATTTATTTTTACTATTTTTAATCTTCAATTAGACATCGTTCTTTAGACTTTGATACTTTCACCTACAGTACCTGATGGAAATATGAAGGAAGAAATTACCCGGAAATTGTGCTTTTAACCAGCGAAGTTGACTTATTTTGAAGTAACATTCCAATTTGATTTTGTTTGCTAATATATACAATACACCGGGCATACAACTGTAAAATTATGAAAACATTGTGAAAAAATAGTTATTTTACTTAAATTAAAAATATTTAATAAATTATGTTCATATTTATAATATTTAATAATTATGTTAATATTTATTGTATTTAACCTTACTGTGAGTGCTTTAAAATACTATTTATATCGATTATATATTTAACTAATCAAAAATATTTTATAAGGGTAAAATACATATTTAGTACCTCAACTATTACTTTTGTTATGTTTTGATCACTCAACTATTTTTCCTTAAAATTATACATAATGTTTAGTTTTGGTTTTATTTTAGTCACTCGTCGTTAAAAAATTAACGATGATGCTAATGTGTCACCATAAGGTAATGACATGCCATCATTTGAAAAACAAAACATTGTCATGTCAGTAGTCTTATTAATTTTTGAATTGTGAATGCTTAAAATGAAACAAAAAATATAACATTAAGTATGACATGGGAGGATTGTTATCCTCATGACCTATAGATAAGAGAATGGCATCGGATAAATTCTAGAAACACCGACAAACCTAAATGTTGTACCACCCCTAAAGGTTGTGGAGCATGACCTAAGCACGTCGGTCATTTTGGACACTACTGCAATATAGGAATAAAATAAATACCACTGAAATATATGTTCATCTTCTCAAGATCCGGTCAATGATGATTTTGAAAGTGATCAATTCAACTAGTGCGATCAATATTAAGAAGTGAATATTCGTAAGTATATCGGTCCAAATAATTGGCAAGTATCACAGTGTTGGGATCTGTTTAGTTTGATTTGACT